CCTCCAACAACCTTCTGCCCACGGAAGAGACCTTGGCCTGGGGTGCGAGGACAAGCCTCTCAACATCGGCAGTGGACGACCCTCCGTTCCCCCCTCCCCCCTCGCCCCCTGACCCTCCACCCGGCTGAAAACGAGGCGTACCCGGCGGATTTTGTGCCGTCGAGCGTGGGCGAAATGAACATCGCCATGAACCTCAACCGCTCGTACGGGACAATCAAAACCATGCCCCACGGGCACAGCCATGTGATGGCTCCGGGCGGTCTTGTACACTCCCACGGAGGACACATGCACCCCCACGGGCATTCGCTCCAGTTGAAGCCGGGACAGAGGCCTTCGGTCAGACAGATTCTAACTGGGGGAACCACAGTGGAGAGAACCAGGACCCTGCCACGCAACCTGGGAAGCACCAACGCCAACAGCGGCCTCTCGGCAGGATCACTGGAGGTGGGTGAGAGGTTGAGGGAAGGAGGGGTTTCCGCTGGAGGTGCGGCTTATTTACGATGTCCACCAACACTTGATGTTCACGGTTATGGGTGCGATGGTGGTTGTGTGCGTGGAGATGTGGTGCTGGAATGAAAGAGAGGCGAGGAAAGACACCCAAGGGGAAGAAGAGGTTTAACTGTTTCATGTGCCATCATGCACATGCTTTCAAGTCATTTAAACAAGGAAATGAGTGGTTCTCTTTATGACAGACGGGTTCTTCCTGGTGTGCTGTGTGTATGTTTGTAATGTGTGTATAAAGTTTGTGTGTGATGCTCCCTCCTAACAGTACAAGGCAGCACAGCAGATGGACTGAGAGACAGGGTCAGAGGAAATGTCCCCAGTGTGTGTTTTTCAGCCCAACGTAGTTTTACACAAACAACACATTGACATGCACACAAAACAATGACACCATGGACACATAAACACCAGCTTTAACAAACACACACTTTGGATCTCCCCCGAATGGCATCAGGATGACTCAAAGCGTTGATTTAAGAGAAGCGACACTTTTACCAAGAAGTGCAGATGCTTAATTTACGACTGAGGACATTAAAGACGAGTCATTAAAACTCATAAAAAACTAGATGAAATACGAGTGCTCTCATGAATACCAAAAAAAAAAAAGAATAATCTCCAGAGAAACCTGAGGGATGTATTTTCTGCACCATCATTTTATCACATTGTGCCTCTAAAGATGAAATAACAGCAGTTTTTGATTCCCAAATTGAAATATGGTGATGCATAATGGAGGGATCACGCAAATGTGCTATCAGTGTTTGTGGATTTGTTTGTGGGAGGCTTGTAAATCTAAACTCAACGGGATCTAGTCAAGGTGTGAGAAAGGTTCACAAGGCATATTATTCTATCATCCTACTATAGACACCAGTCGAGGTTGTATGGAATCAGGCGGCAACCTCCGGTTCTGACGAGGTAAGCCAATGCAGAATGATGTTTGTTTAGTAAATGGTTCTCCCATTTAGAGTAGAAAAGACCATAACGCTTCAGTAGCTTCAGGGGGTGTGGGGGGGCTTACTGTAATTGACAGGTTACTACCGGAGCCGTACGTTACGTCTCAATTGGTGACGACACAATGTCTCCGTCCAGTTAGTATTCTAGTCTGATGATTTAAACGTATATAATTTTGGCTGTAGAGGTGAAGTTTCATGTAAATCGCTGCATTGAATACATGCAAACGAAAGATGATGAACCCGTGTGTGGCTATAGGGCCTCCATGCCATCATAACAGCAAATCACGCGATGATTCCTTATGAATGTTGTATGAGTGAGTTAATGATGGCGTAATGCCTTTTCACAACAAAACATGCAATATACTGTACATGTACATGCATGTTGCATGTATACCATATTGCAAAGCAAACTCAGGCACGGAATTCCTCTGTTTAAGGTAAGGCTTTCTCCGTAGTCGGCAAAGGGATCGCTTCATGAGGAGTGAAATTCCTTTGCCCTCTTCTGCCGTGGCATCAAATTAGCCACTCTGTACCCTTTCAAGGAATGAACACAACTTTTAACTAACAACGCAGGAGAGCAGCTCCTCTCACTGCCAAATGCAAATCTTGCAGACGGCGAGAGCCAAATAGGCAGTCAGAGATTGAGAGTAATGCAACGCAATGTCGGGGCCAGATGAGTTGGAAACGTCTGCAGCTGTTAAATTGGCGGCTTATGTGCCACTGGCTATATCTTCGGAGGCACTTAAGAGGAAAGTGGTGGGGTCCAAACAAGATTAGAGGATGAAAACCATTCCTCAGATGTTTGCAGTAGCTCTTTTAATCGGAATGTGTCCAACACGTTCTCCAAAAATAGCAAAGGGCGGGGGATTTTTGCTGGGGATGGAATTATTGTATTTCAGAGTATGTGAGCCGAGAAATGATTGTTTCCCTCCAACTCTGGGTTATTCCACATAACTTGGCTCGTCGCGTTGAAATGGACCGAATAATTTGCTTTTTGGCCTTGACATTTGTAAGAAAATCTTGACTTTGTCGGGCAGCCAGTTGATATTAGCTTTCCTCCTGTTACCAAACAATGGCACAGAGGGATCTACAGATTGATATAGTTGGGTCTTAGGTTAAATAGCGGTGGAGGGGTTTTATATTGATGCTTTCTTCTCTCCCCCTGCCCTCATCCTCTTCCAGAGGAAAAGAGTACGGTACTCTGAGCTGGACTTCGAGGTAAGATCTCGGACCTCAACCCCCTGTCATCCGCCTGTCCCTGCTTTCTTGTGCTTCCGCCAGGACTCGAGTAACGCATAGAGGAGCAAACAGCCAAGCTAAATCCGTCCCTGCGGCCATGTGTCTCCCCTGCTTTCAGAACCCTGGACTGCTCAGACCGGTCTTGCATAGTGTGCTGTTCCTCCAACAATGGCCTAAAATAATCAGCTTTTTTTTGGCTAACCAATTGTCTTAATTGATTCATTTGTGTGAAACCACTGACGTGTACGATCAAATCAAACAAAGCTGTCATGTCACCGTGGAGGTCCTGGTTGAAGAAACAGCAAAGTAGAGTGCTTCTTGTGTCTAAATGAATACAAGTAGTGAGTCCTGGGCCGAAACAAATGTGGCTGTAGCTGATTGGCTGGTTAAATCTCTTGGAATAACATGATTTGACATCGAGTAAGTATGTTTGTGTGAGAAAGATTTGGGTGTGCTGTGAATCTCCAGCCTCTAGGGAGTAACCCTGAGCAATGAATTACCTCCCTGTTTGTGAGAATTCAGTTTAATATTCAAATTGTTGCAAAGACTGGACATTCACCTTCCACCATGAAGATATATCTTTCCTATAGAGGGTACATGAGGTGACAAGCTACTAACAGTGACAATGGAGGAGTGTTCGCCTTCCCCGGGCCAATTTATTCGTGGCCGCTGCATGAATTTAGAAAAGGAGATGGCCTCTCCTGCTAATCAACTCTTTTCTAATTAATTGGACTGTTGACTTTGAGAAAGAGGTCGACATGGAAGTACCATTTAGTGTGTGCATTTCCACTATTTAATGGAAGGTAAACCCATCTCCACTCATTTTTGTTGTTGAGTATCCATCCTTTTAATTTGTCAAACTGACCTTCAGTCTTCAAAATGAGTTAAGGGTCCAGAAATCATCAGAACTATTTTTTTGAAGATCTTATGCAACAGTGCAACTGGGCAGTACTCTTTAGAATGAACAAACTGAACTACACATGTAAAATCATTTTTTGTATTGAATGTTTTTAAGATCATAGTTTAAAAGAGGTTTCATTGGATTTTAATGGAAAAATTAAAGCAAATGACTCAAGGCAAAGTAGAGACATAGCAGCAGAGATGAGAGTGCCCACTCCGAGGTAATTGGAGCCGGTAGTGAGCGCCAGTCCTGGCTGCGACGTCTGCGTTGTGAGTGCTGGCATCTTGCCCCTGCGTCACTTTCAACCTCGCAAGCTGATTTGATGATTATCCACCGCTGAGCAGCTCCAGCGCTGCCCATTAGCACGGAGAGGCAACAGCCGTGGCACTTACACGCGAAGGCTGCTGTCAGAAAATTAAATATTTGGATATATACTAGACAGACATTTAGAGAGGGCCGTTTTAGTCAAATATCACAAGTGCGACATTTAATGAGTTCGATCAAATACTGAGGCGACGGGACCGCCAGCCAGCAGGCGCCGTCCCGAAACAGTGGGTTTCCCCTCAAGTGACTCCTCCCGCAGCGTTCCCAGTTGCCAAATTCTCAAAGGACGGAAGTGGAGGACGTGTGAGCATGAGCTAGCGATGGATCGATCTGTCGGCGTCCCTCTCTCCTGGCGGTGTCCCTCAGCATTTCAGCCATTAACCTGCCTGCCCCTACGTTGGCCCTCCTTCTTTTCTTTTCTTTTTGTTTCTGTTGGGTTCATTTTTGCTGTCCCTTCCTTCTCTTCCCTTCCAGAAAGTGATGCACACTCGCAAAAGACATTCTGAGCTGTACCATGAGCTCAACCACTCGTCCAAGTTCCACACCATAGACAGGTATAGCAGGGACCCGGCCATGTCCACGTTCAAGGTAAGACCGTTGTCCAAAGGCGGGACGGGAACCCGCTGGATCCAAACACCCCCTCCACCCCCTTCCTCACTTTGTCACAAGCCCCGAAATCCTATAGAATTGACTTCTGCACGGATCAAAATTGCAGTGGGATGTGGAAAAAAGCGGAAAAGTGAATTAGAATGTCACCTCAAAAGCAGCATTTAGATGCAGATTACTATCTTCAAAAATAAAAGGTTAGGTACTTTTGAAAGTTGCATTATCCATTATTGTTCCTGTGGAATTGTTTCCTTTCCTAAATTCATTTATTTTCCTAACAAAGGAACCTTAATGCAATGTGAATAGTGTGTGTATTTTCATTCAATTGTATTGACTCACTGCGGTACAAGTCTGTGGAGATTTAAACGATAACTAGCTCATCAATACAGCTTTACTCCAGTTCTCAACTGTAAATATGTTTTCATACCTGCTGTAATTGGCTTCATCCTCACTTGTGGTTAGTGCCTTTATTAAATACCTAGTTAGAACAGTTGATCCCATAAGCAGTTAGCTGAGGGATAATCAATCTCAGCCGGTTAATGAAATCCCACTTCTGCAACTTTGAAGACCTGTTAAACTACCCCCCCCCCCCTCCCCCCTCTGCGAAGTCTCCTCACCTAATGCATTCCTGGAAACACATTAGTGCCTATACACACAACTGCTTTGTCCATGCCTGTGTCACACTTTTCCACTGTTTATGTACTGTATGCAACTGTCCTTTTTTTTTCACGTGTCTGTGTGGGTGGTTGGGGGGAGATGTGTGCGTCGGTGGTGGTGGGGGGGGGGGGGGGCTAACTGTGCACATGAGACACACTTTGAATCATTAATACACCATTAGCAGCAGACGAAAGACTCCCTGCTTGCTCCGCACTGACCTTCAGAGAGTCACTTTCATTAAGATTTAAACACGCACGCTTGCACTCCCCTCGTCTGCGGAGAGCCAACCTCGATAGGTGTAACTGTCCGCCGGCGTCGGCGCCATGCTGGTTCACGACTAATTTACACCGCCAGTAAAGGACCAGAGGCCGGTCTGACATCGCTCATATTGCCCGCGTCGTGTAGCCGCACGTATACTGTACACACACATTCACACACACACACACACACACACCTCTGCAGACACACTGCCATTCCCCCAATTCGGTTCCTTCGGGCCTTATTTGCTCCACCCCACAATCACGATTTTCAGAACTTTTGGCCGACTCCCCTTCCATTAATGCCAAGCAAATGTTTCATGCGCGAGAAGCTAAAATGACAGGCTGCTTGGAAAGGCATGAGCCAAATATTAGAAGTGTGTAGTTCTTAGCAGTTGCACTGCGGAATGTTAATGTACTTCGGCGGGAGGGGGGGGGCAGGTGGGCTTAGAGTTTATGCCCAAATGTAAAAGAAATGAGAGCCCGCACACAAGTAATAGATAGGCCGTATTTAAGCAAATGAAGATAAGTTGGAAGACATATTCTTTCGCCGGTTTAAGCGACGCCGTGTACGTTATGAAATGAAAGGGCAGCATAGATATGGCAAACGCATTCAAATCCATTATGTTAGAAGTAAGAAGGCTGTTCACTTAACTGTGAATAATAACTCAGATAATGATATCAGTGCCAGGCCTTTGACAGGACCCATCTTGAGTTCAGCTCTGCTGTAGTCAACATCTCACTTTGAGAGTCACCCCCCCGACACGGACATGCTGACTATACAGTAATTATGGAGATGAGAAGGGTGTGTGTGTGTGCGTGTGTGCTTGTCCTTACACTAGCATATCAGAAAGCCTATTGTAAGTGGGTGGCAGTCTGCCTCTGTGTGTGAGCCTCTCTGTGTCCTCTTGTTATTTTTTCTTTTTTTTTTTTTTATGTATATGTACATCAGTGTGTGACACTGACTGGATTTCAAGCACATAAACTGTTTAGGAGACAATTACTGCATGAGTAATGACATGATTTGCCATAAAACACTGACACTGGCAGTGCTTTTCTCATAGACTACATTGAGTGCTGTGATCTAATAGCAAACATAATTGCATTTTATTGGGATACTTCCTCACGGATGGACACCCAAAGTACTATGGAAGTTGCTATTCACCCTTAAGTTCATATGGCCAATTGACTCAGTCACTTAAGGACTTGCACCATTAAGAAGCTCACCTTTTAAACATGAGGGACACTAGCCAGTTACAGGCAAAACAAGTATAAATGGTGAGTCATCCTCAAGGCAATGAGGCCTCAACAACTCATTAACCCCCTGGCTCTCTGCAAATCTCTCTCCTCTGAAGTGCCTAAACAGTATTTTAACCCAGACACTAAACAGCTTTTAACCCCTACTAACCCCCGCGGGCGGCGTTGGTCGACAACAGGTCCCTCCTCCCCCACCGCCGAGGCACGACACCGAGCCGTCACTAGCGCGCAGAGCCTCCCTCGTTTACAAAGAAAGTCAAAGTAAGATCCTACTAAACCCGGCATAAACCGTGTGCAGTAGAGCCCCTTTAACTCCCTCTAAGGCCGATGAGTTGACGCGCCACGTGTTTCTGTAGGCGTCATAGTTCGCCGCTGTGCTTGTGTGTTTGTGTAGCTGCAAAAATGTGCATTCCGTATGTGATTGATTGTTCGCTAAACTCTCGAGCGATCAGCGATTAAAGCGGTAAAAGCTACTGTGTGCAGGCCTGCTAAGCTCTGGAGGTCCAGGTGCTGAGCATCTAAAGAGTTTTGAGGTTTTGCTTCTTTTGTTTTCAAGCTCCTAGGAATACAAGTATTAGATGAAACTGTTTATCTGCTACCATTAGCATCTACTGCAAACCAGCTTACCACACACAGTGAATGAGCATCACTTAAAACCAAAGAGCAAGTTCCAATTTTAAAAAAGTGTACTGTACATAATGATAATTTTTTCTAATGATCAATCCCTCAATTCTGGTCTTAATTAATAAATAGTCAAAGGAGAAGGGATGCTGATAAATCAAAGGCTGATGTGTGCAGCGCTAGAATGGAAAGCTTGACAGGAGCTACTTAACTGTACCTGAGATGTTAAGATGTTTAAGGGAGTTAAGCGAACGGTCAATTAGAGGAATGCACTTTACACTTGTACCTGATACTAGAAAAAGCCCCTTTTGAGGCAACACCTTTTCGTAGTGAGTCACACAGACAGTGTCAAACTATGAGCTTACTCCATTCTGCCCACCTTGCCCCACCTGTCAGCGCTGTGTCATTGTGAAGTGACTGTATGTGATGAGCCTCCGTGTTAGGTGGTCCCCCTAGTGGTGTGGTGGTGTAACTCTGTGCGGTGAATCACAGCTTGTAACTGCTGGTCAACTGCGTTCATATGATGAGAGCTAATCCCCTTTCCTGGATCAGCTCCTATAATAATACAAGCTAGAATCACTGACACCAGCGAGACGGATCTGTAAGGTGGTCTCAGGAAGTATTGGCTTCTTCATAAAGTTGTTATTTTTGTTGTTACTATGGTTGTGCTGTTTGGGGTTGTGTTTCCATTCCTGGTGTGATGTTCCGTGCTGTCGTTGAGCCCATTTCAGTGCCTGAATCAAAGCGTATGACCCAAACACCATAAGCTAGTGATAAATCAGTTCATAAAGACATTGAACCATCCAAAAGGTTTCACAATCACCTCATAAACTATGAAACTCTGTCCGTTAACTAACTCATTGGCACTAAAACGGGGCCAAATATGATGCACATTCTATGTGTGCTAATGATAGACAAATGCTCACGCGGTCAGAGGAGACCTTTCACCTCTATGGACAGGTAGGATCTCTGTGTTAATGAGTAAATGAGTGGATATCAGAAAATTACCCCTTTTCACTTTTTTTTTAAAAATTTTTTTTTAACTTCCATATCTCATTGAATTTGTTGTTGAAGTGTAAGGAGCTTAAAGTGTCCGCCGGCATTACAAATGCCATCGCAGAACCCACACGCCTGCAGCTCTGGGTTTCTGCTGTCCTTCTTGTTCTTGTCTCTCCATGCCACCTACTCACAATGTTGTTAACTCCACATTGCCCACTGACTGGTAATCCCTTATATTTGCCGCACTGATCGCTCGAAGCTGTTAGTGATGACTCAAGTGTTGCACGTAATAGATGAAAAGTAGGGAGAAAGACGTGAAGAGAACGGAGGGGGAAGCAGACGCCATGACTCGTTAACCTCAATGTTGGAAATCACCTCGTCTGTCTTTTCTATTAGCAGAGCTATTCCTGTTGTCTGAGAACAAAATCTACATGCTCTCGTCTGTTATGTATTCAGTTTAAAAAAACAGCAACATGCATGACCTTTCAAATATTCCCTGTGAAAAGGCTCACTGATAAACCTTTGCTAACACATTTATTCTCCCAGATTCTGACATCTGTGGGCATTTTGCATGCGGTCATACACATACACTCTTCTGCATTCTGAAATGTGGCTACAGATGTCACTGTGAGCTCATGCTTATGGATTGTAGATGTTTTCCTTTACCTATACCGTGTATGCACGGTTTCATTATTCTCCGTTGAAGTGGATAGAAAGTAGGCTTCACTGCGCTAATGATAAAAAAACAAAATCCAATCGGACTCTCTTTTAAGTGCAGTGGAATGCTCAGGCAGGGGCAACGCGGCCTGCGGGGGAATGGAGTTGTCATTGTGTCTCTCATAATGGAGAAAGGAGACAAATGGAGTCAGTGGGGTTGCTGAGAGACAAAGTGGTTGCAGTGTTTACGTAACGCACTCCGGGTCAGCATCGCTGTGTGCGCTAATGCTTAGCTGGTTGGCCTCCGTCCCCCTGGAGTTGGTCTGTAGTTTTTACATCCTCTCCGTGGAGGATCAGAGGGGCAGAAGACAAATGTGCGCTTGGTGTCCAGCGATGCAGTGTGGTGCCTCAGTGTGTGTGGGATGGAGTGTGTGTGAGAGAGAGCGGGAGACGGAGTTTGCACTGCGTAACGGCCGAGCTGATGCGTTTTTAGCCCTCAAGCGGGATAAATTTCCATCCCGTCGTCTTGATTAAATGAAGCCTCCTCGCCTCGCCTCTGCAGACGGACGGCGAGGACTCGTGTGGAACACAGCGGGACGGAGAAGCAAGACGAAGGAGACGAGCGCTCCACTTTGTTGTGATCTCGCTCATGCCGGATCAGAGCGGGGACAGCAAGCTTATTTTGGATTAGGCGTGATCTATTTATGCTGGAGGCGTGCGTTTGAATTCCACGATGAATCTCAAGTCTATTAAGGCCACATACGGAGGTGTATTCCTGGATTGGTCTGAGAGTGTTCTCCCATCAGCCAGCCTCATAAAAGAGAGGCGAGACCTCAAGTGCCGTCTTCATGCATCCACAGTTGACATTAGTGGCTGCTATTGATACTCCAGCGTGTTTTCAGTCCACCGAAGGGAATTGGAGCTGAGGTGACGCTTTGAGGATGTCTCGTGTAAAATGAAGATGTATAATTTAAAATGACAAAGGCTCCATTTTTTGTGGAGTCAATGAGAGCAATTTGTGTGCGCCGGAAAACCCTGTAGGCCTTGATAGTCAATTTTCTGGCTTTGAGCTAAGGAGCTTCAATTTCACATCCCAGCAATAAAGCAAGTCGTCCCCTCTTCCTCCACTTCATTTCTCATTCTGCCCTGTATTTATCCTCGCGGCTTGACATTTTCTCTCTTGCCGTCTCCCCCGTTTTCCCATTTCACCCTCTAAACCCAGGCCCTAGGTGGCACGTTTAAGGCATTAATTGAATAATTAATTCCTCTCATTAGTTTGTTTTTAATTATTTCCTCACCCCCTTCTCCTCGCCGAGTATAAACTCATCAACTATTTTCATCCCTCCACACAAATTGCCCATGAAAACTGAGGATTGGCGGAGTGTGGCTTCGGCACACTGGCTCCATCAGTGGCCCCTAATGAGGGGACGGTCAGCCCAGGCGGAACAAGACTAACCCCGGCTTTGTGCACCAAGAGGCACAATACCGATTTAGCTCATTTAGTGTCCTTGGGCAAATTCAGGGGAGGTGAAAAGGGCCCGATTGCTAGCTGGAACTGTTTTTACTATTAGAGCACTGGCTTTGCACAGGCCAAGACAGCAGGGAACAGAGCCGGTGTGTCTGATTGCTCGTTTGTTTGCAATGTGTTGCACTAATGGAATTTGTTTACCCTGCATTCTCCAGATCTGGACCCTTTTTATTTGAGACGCAGGCTCCTTCCCAGATTACAGATAAATGGTTGTTAAAAGCTACTCTGCCCAGTTGGTTGCCGCCTAATGAATTATACAGGTCCTAAATAGGAGATTTAGATCATTATTTTCTTCAACAAAATGAAATAAAAACATGCAATAGTCTGGCTCTTGCTCAATGACTTAAAGCCCACAGTCAACAAACCCCAAGCATCAGGTATCCACTCTGAATACTCGTGTTTCGCTTGATGTGGCTTCTATTTACTTTGTGTGTACATGTGGTTTAAGTTGGTTTCATGTGAGCCTCCCACTCCCACAGTGTGTGTTTTTTCATTTGTCTTAACTGTCACATTTAATTGATTTGCGCTTTTTTGTCTTTGTTTCCCGTTTCATGTCCTCTGTTGGCTGACTGGGCCTTGTGTTGCATGCTTGTTGTCGCGTCCCAGTTTGAATGTAGCCGAATCAGCCGAACCATGGGCCTCCAAGTCAACAAAGGTAAAGTTAAGCCACTTACCCACAACCACCTGTCCTCCCCCACCGCCCCCCAAAGACCGCCTGCCACGCCGCTCACACACATCCAGACACCGCCCCCAGTCCGTGGTCCTAATAAGGACGCCTGAGTGGCAGTGAGTGGGCCTCATCTACCAGCACTGTAGCAGACACTTCCGGAGATGGCTTTAGACGTTTTTGCAGAAGCATTTTTTTTTTTTTTCCAGCATGTATTTTTTCTACAAATCTCCATTCACTTAGTTTAATACATGCAGCTTGTAGTTTTCGCTCTCCTAAATCATGTGGCCTGGTGATGAATGTTGCGTTTGCCTGTGGTGCCTGCAGACACAATAGATGCGTTTGCCCAACGAAGGCAAGTACTTTAATGCAACCCCATGAAAGCTGTGAACGCATCCTAATGTGGGCGAGTTGCTCAAAATCAGTTGATGTTGATCAGATACAGGATAAGTGTAAATTACATTTTTCTTTTCAGACAGTGATGGTGCACAACAGAGCTTTTGGGGGTCAGTATTTGAATAATGTAAATGATTTAATTGCTGATAAGGCGGAAATATATACGTCTGGTAGCCATAACTTCAGCCTTTAACAGACGGGGGATAATGTCCACACCGACGGAGACGTCTTTGGCTTGTTACGCGGTTTAGACATTTGAAAAAGCTACGTATGTAAGAAATGAAAGAAAACCAAGAGAGAGTGACAGTGGGCAGATACGTCTGTTATTAAATAAACTTTTACAGAATGCCCAATTTTAAATTGCAGGAGCTTTTTTTTATATACCAGACCATTATATTTAGGCAACACCACACACCGCAGGACCTTTCTGCTTTATTCACACCAGTGCTGTTGGACTCCACAAGTGGACCGGGCCAGTCAACTGTAGGAAAACACCTGTTACTTCACAACACCTGCACATGTTGGTCAATAACACCCACCACAAAAACCGGTAGTCAATCTCAGCGGAAGGGGAACGTGAAAGAAAACCCTGATCGATCGCACTCGATCGTACGTGTAGTGTGAAAACAATCAATAATGCGGATAGTGTCGATAGTTTTTCCGTGGACTAATAATCACATCCGTCATCCTCATTCAACGTTGTTTAGAGAGCACGAGCTCCAAAGGCCCCCGGCTCTGCTTTTAGAATCCGATTACTCGTACACTCACGTGACGTTTTTTGGTTTTTGGTTTTTCATCCCCTCCAGGATAGTTGTAGTTGCTGTTAGTGGTGCATGCGTAGAGTGTCGAATCCGTCGGCCGCTCTGCCCTCTGTTCCATGAAGTCTATTGTTAGGACCGTAAAAATAAATTAAAAAAAGGCCTGCGCCTTTTGCATCACAGGCTCGCGCCGCCTGTTGGATCACATTGTTCTGCCGGTGAATCTCGCCCGTGAGGGAGAAGGGTAAGATGTAAGCAAAAAGCAACACCTGCCTGTTCACCTGCCGACGGTGTGGGAACAATGCTATTGTTTCAGGGCAGAGTTGTCAGTGACTGTGCCCCCCCCCCCCCCTCCTTCCCCCCACTCTCCTCTCTATATTTCTTTTTTCCTCTCTTCTCTCTCTCGTCATCCCCTCGTCTTCTCCCTCCCATTTCATCACCACAGAGGGAAAAGCGATGGAGCATTTCGTCTGCCGGAGGTGAAAAGAACTCGTCGAGTGTAAGTAGAGGGGTTTCTGGCAGAGGGGGGGTGGGGGGGGGGGAGAAGAAGCGGGATGAGGCGGGGGCTTCGGAGGTTGCGGAGGCAGGCAGGGATGGCGAAAGGGAACGGGGGAGAGACACGCGGGCAGCGGCACAATCGCGTTAGCCTGGTCTCCGAGGGATAAAGTTGGGCTTAACTGCAGAATTACCCACACTCCTGCATTACAAAATGTTCCTTCGCCAGCATTTAGCATGCAAATTGGCTCCCAGATTCTGCCTTTTGTATTCATTTTACCAACTGTCAGGCTGTGACGCAGGGAGAATGATAATCAGGCAGATATTGCCCCCTAGCGCTCCGGCAAAGATCATGGACGCTGCAATGGGGGAGTGTTGTGTTACTGCAGATCAATGACTTTTGGGTAGAAGTGTGTGCGAGCGTGTGCGCTGAAAAGAGAGACAGGGATTGAGGGGGTGAATAGCTGAAAGGGAAAGACCCGAGAGTTAAGGTGACTAAAGGCGGGTGGGACGGTGGGAAACGAAGAGAGAGAATAACTTGAAGGCCGTACAGTGCTCGCCTGAACGCATTGTGTAAGATACAAATAAGAACGGGGAGAAGTGCTCTGAGAATATTCCTCTTCCCGATGTTAATATTCAGCACCATGTCGTCCGAAAGCTGTGGCAGTCTGCCTCTCTGGGAGTCATCCGGGGCCAGCGATCGCTCACGTCTCTCCCGGGTCGTATCTGTGAATATCCGCCAGATAATGAGTCTGATTTGAATAATGGCCCTGATCTGATTCGTACCTCCAATTGCGTTTTTCACCAATCGGCCCAACATGTATTTTACATTCACGGTGGGCACATCTGCAGACCACATGCAGACATCACATACACCGGCCCGGAGGGAAAAAGGCTTTAATTACTGGAGGATAAAAAAGTCACTGATTGAGTGCGAGAGGTGGGAGATGAAGGAGGGAAGGTGTCGTTTCTGTAAAAGAAGGTAGTGTTTTGATGATGGAAAGATGAAAATGGTCCTTAAACTAACAGGTGTGTATGACCCTGCCTTCTACTGTTCATGAGGTTGAATCTCTGCACAGAAATGATTCTGGGTGGTATCGGCGTTGTGTGACTGTCTGCTGCGTGTTGATAAAAAAATGAATAAATGTAAAATGAAGCATTTAAGCTCAAATATGTTCACATCTGCATACTGGCACAAGGAATGGTTTCAAGTACGTCACATTCCACCAATTTGGGTCTCTCTTCCACGACCATTATTCCTTCCCATACTGCTAACCGCAACAAACTCAATTGCTGATATTCGGTAATGACATTGCTGCACGGGCTGACATGGCAACAGTTAATCCATGCATCATTTCATTTGAGATGAAATCCAAATTATAAATAAACACAGGCCAAATCCCCCTAATCATCAGCCGCCATTGCACACGAGAACTGTTTGTTTTACGCAGCCACAGTAAACACAGTCAAAACTAAAGCAGGAAATCCGGGAATTGGTAAACTACCAGGTGGTCCGAGGATTACAAAAATCCCCCACCTCCCCCTGTAGGTAATGTGATCATGATTTGATTTGGTTCATTTCATTTAATTACGTGTGGCCACAAGGTAAGTATCTAAAAACATTAACTCACACATAAACACATCAAATTTTGTTTTCAGGAATTAGTCGTACATTTGTAAATTGTTTTGTGGATCCCGAGGGAATTGATGAGGTCTGCTAATGTGACCTGAAGTTTGCCTGCTTTGACTTCCAACTAAATTTGTCTGAGTATATGTTTCTTGCCATGTCAGACATCACGTCATCACAGTTATTAGAACTGATAGATATTGGGTTCAAATCCATCAAAATAAGTCGCAGGTTGCATTAAACCACAACTTGCACGTTGCCTCTGTTGCATCTTCGATATGCCGACGTCTTTCTTTGCATACACGGCCCATTTCCTTGTCTTTCCTCCTCCATCAGGACAAGTCGACCCCAGAGGACCAGAGCTCGTGGGACAGCTTCAAGACCATGACCCCCGAGCTGTCCATCGTGCCCGGGGAGCAGAAGGATCGATTGGAGCTGCACAATAAGAACTGGGACTCGTCCTCCGCTAACACGCCTGACTCATCCGAGGGAGACTTCCAGACTGAAGTGTGAAGACACACACACACACACACACGCGCGCGCGTGCACACGCTCGCTACGACACACACGTGCTTGTGCGGAGAGAAACGATTGAAAAAAAAAAAAAAAGCTATACATAGATACATGATTTCTGACAACGCCACTGCTCCTCCTGCAACGTGCCCTGCCGGATCCCATACTGTGTTTGTTTACTGGCGGAGCGGACAGGCGCGGAAAGAAGACTGTTCTACCATATATTTTCGCAAAGACTATTGAAAAGAAAGAACAGGGGCGTGACACGTCTGGGACCGAGGAACATTTTTAAATGAACTTAAGAAAACTATGGAAAAACAAAACAAAACAAAAAAATATTTCTGAGAAAAATGTCTTGATTTTATTCTGAATGAAAATCTCTTTCAATTGTTTGATGATTTGGGGTGGGGGAAGGAAAATAATATTTCTGCACTGTTACGTTCTTTTTATAGCAAGAGGGGGGGAAAGATCTCACTGGGGTTTCTCACACTGTTATCCCCCCTCGGCACCCGGCTTTCATGTATTTCCTTTTCCCTTCTAATGGATGTTGGAAGCATTATATCTCCTATTCTCTTTCCTTTTTTATTTAATTCTTTTTGGATGCAAAGGGAGTGGGGGACAACGGAAGAGCTGCTCATTGATATGTGCCATCCTCATTGCTTTTTTTTCAGGTTCCAGTTCAACAACCCCATCCATCCATCATCCGTTGTGTACTTTCTGTGTATTTTCTACAGCTTTGTTCCAAGAAATATCATCTTCTATGGATGGAAACTTCTAATGAAAAAATTATATGAATGAAGCATCTGTTCAAGAAGAATTGAGTTATTTTTAGACTAGAATACTCATGCTCCTGCTGCTTTTAAAAAAAATCATTTTCTTTTAATTTTCTCTGAGAATGAACCCGCGTGGAACTTTAAAAAAACAACGTTTTGGATACACACAGCACATAAATGTGAGCTTATGTTTGAGGCGATGTGTCCCGCATGTTCTCCAGTCACGAGGAAAGAGAAAGATAGTCATCAGATGCAGATTCTTGCATCCCCCCCCTCCCCCAAGTCCTTGGAGATAAAAGCCTTTAAAGATTGCAGCATCTGAAGCCATTTCAGCCATCACCAATAACACCACAAAAGAGAATATCTTATTCATTTTCAGCCCACGTGGAATCTGCGTTCGCTCCGCATCAGTCCTCAACAAAAACTAAGGCTTCTGCCGGTTTCTACCTTTTTGAGTCACATATAGGTTAGGAGCCAATAATTATAAGTTGATACCACCTGAGCTAAATGTAATATTTTCCCCAGGAACCCCATCATGGATTTAAAGCTAAACATGCTCTCCTTTGCTTTTTCCTTCTCGTTTATCCTTCTTCTGCTGCCCACCAGTCCTCATGCTACCAGGAGGCAAGAAACCGTTTTCTGTTAGCAGTGACGCCCGGATTTATAATCGGTCTTTCCCATGCATCCCTCTCCATGTGATTGCCACCTGCATTTGTGAGCACAGCAGCTGCAGATAGAGAGACTGAAATAGAAATACAGAGATGGAGTCACAGAGGTTATGAGGCGACAGGGCGGCAGACGGAACAGGGAGAAAAAACACAAAATCCTGTGCCGACGCTTGACGCTCTACTTGACATTCTACATCCGTCCGTTGGTCGCTACAAGACGACGACCAGTTTCCTTCTGTTGCCACATTAACGAATCGGTCGTCCACACTGCGACACAGAGGAAGCGTCACGGTGCAGGATGAATTCAATAGATGGTGTGATAAGTTTTCTGTCCATGTTCAAAGCGGCGCCCGTTAATCTAACAGGAGAAAGGGACAATTTATGGAGAAGAAAGTGCAAGAGGAAATGTTATCCAAGAAAGAAAAGAAAAACACCCTAAAATATAAAATGAGACAGCTAGAGGCAGGCGGAGTTGCATATTAAGAGGGGGGGGGGGGGGGGGGGTGCTCAAAGCAGTAATTATCCAGAGACGGCTATTTGTCCTGACATTTTCCAATGCAGCCCTCGAACCATCTGTTTAAAGATCCCTAATGTGGTAGTAGTTCCGCATGGCGCAGATGGTGAGACAAGAGTGCAGCCCTCCTAACCTTTCAAGCTAATCAGCTGATAGGACGCACGGCCCGCTGCCTCCCGCAGGAAATGGATAGGTTTGGCCCTCAGGTTGCAGAGCTAAGGTCACATTCACCTGACCTTCTGCGGGGCTCGCGATCCAGATCTAATGTACGGTGTGTCTCCCAACAGGGAAACAAAAAGCATCCGGCCTGTCACACAGTCAATGGGTGTTAATCTATAGCAGTAGAAAACATCAGTCTCAGGGGTAACAGATTTAACCTTAACACGGAAAAAAATGTTTTTTTTGATATATAAAATTGAACATTAGAGGGGAAAAAAGCACTATATGAATTCTCTACAAAGCCTTGTTCCCATGGTAACTAAAAAAAAAAAGAATGAGAAAGAAAGAAATGTTTGATTTCAGCCCTGTAGGATGTTTTGCTTTACTTGCCTCTTCTAATGATGATCTTTTCCATTGTGCTGGTTACATGGGAGCAGTATGACGGCTCTCACCTCAACGAGAATCTTCAGGCGCGAGTGAGGTGCTGCTTTATTGAATGAGATCGAGATGTTTGTCTGATCCAACGCAACTAACGACGACTATCATCTTCAAACGTGTTTTCTGTATTGAACTCGTGTGACGTGAATGCTTAGAAGTTAAGTTGATGCAGGAGTATGTTGGTAAGTCGATTTTGTTTTCTTTTGTGTGTTTCAATTCTGCCAAACTTCAACTGCCCATTAAAAGAAAAAAATAATACAACGCCTCGCAAGTTTCCAATGCCAGGCAGATGCCAGCTCCATAACCTACTAGCCTCACCTTCGCCTCCAACCTTTCACGCTTTGATGCTTTGGTGTTAAACGAACGCTTCAACCATCCGACGTTACACTTGATTTACTGCTGACAACCCCTCCTTTTCCTTTTCTCTCATTTTGTTCTTTTTATACATAAGATTGTACAAAGTAGTCCTCTAATGTTTTCATAGTGTCTTTTTATATGAAAATAAATTTTCAAATTGATCTCCTGTCTCATACGTGCACGCGCACGTGCGTACGTTCTTGAAGGGCATCAGTGGAGGAGAGCGACCGGGTTCTTCCTTGACTCGCAGTGCACTCGCATCGCCGTGTTTTCATAATACTACTCTGGGTGTTGGGCGTGACGAACTCTGTTACTCAGAAGCATTGAGGCCTAACTGTGACCGATCAGAGGCCCTGCTGGTCTGTCAGAAAACATGAGAGGAGCCGTTCTGTGAGTTTGAAGTCGTGTTGCACTGAAATAACCGCGGGGGAAATGTCAATTCAAAGTGATTATTTCATTAAAATTGTATAAACTTTGAGCGATATTTATGCTAATAACAAAAAAGATGTTTTGCCAAAAATGTTTTTGTTATGTAACATGGTAAAAAAAATAGTCCCACTGGACAGGCGTTGATAGTCCAGAATGAAAGAACATCAGACAAGAGATGAGGCTGCGCATGTCTGAGTCTCTGTACATTTGCCCTCCAATGGGCTTGTGGGTAATTAAGTGGAGCTGCCATCACTAAGCCTGGAGAAAGGCCACCAACTGGAACTTTCTCATGGGAATGAGAGCGAGGTCAGGAGAGGGAGAAAATGGGACGAAATCCACGGAGACAGGGAAGACGCAGGGAGAGGGTTTTTACATCACTCCGGGCGGTTGAGTCACAGCAATTACAGGGCCTTGTGGTTATTTTTCGCCGAGGTTTGTGGGTAATTAAGTTGTGCAACTGGTGTGTCACCCAGTGACCTGAGGAGAGAGCCCGCTGACAAATAAAACGGGGAGACAAAAATGAAGAGCGGTCGGACGAAGATAACAGATGTCAACCCCACCGAGGCTGTCCGACGGGAACCTCTGGACGGGGGGCCGCCTGATTGCTCGTTATTTACAAAAAAGACACTATTCCGTGTTCCTGGCAGCGCTGGGAGAAAGGTGAGTTTCAGTGCTCAGAACGGTAAGTTGAGAAAGTTTAATATCGCTCAGTCAAACACAAAGTGACGCAAAAAGCTGGACTGTTACTTTGCCATAGTGACGCAGGAGAATAGAGTTTTTGTGCATACCTTTTCTGCTTCTTGGGGGGCTAGATCTTCAGTAACAAGCCGTCATTGTGGTGTTTTTGTGGCAATGAAACGGCCAAGGCAAGGAACAACGGATCGATACAATCATTTTTTTATAATAATGCTTTCACAAACAAGGCTGGATCATCTTCCGCCTGTTGTCGCTAACGATGCATCCTGCGTCGTTAACTGATGATGATTCCTCTGCTCCTCGATATTTCCTCCATCCACTGCTGTGGGTGCCGGGTGATGTCATTATTTAATGTCACATCCATCATAAATGTGTAATTGTTTTCGGATGTGTTTTTCTGTACAGGTCAACATCTCATTAGTGATTTGCCTGGACCTGATGGCCCACGTTACGGATCGCTAACTATTGAATATGGTAAAGTTAATGAAAGTGATTGGAAATATTTGAAATTGCCTCGTCAAACTGCATTCTAAATATCTCTTTGTGTTAGTATTATGGGAGTTCATGTCATTATTATTTAACTTCTGCCAGATGTCATGGAAACTTACTCGGACCTGTGCAAAAATCCTAACCTAATGATATTATTTCTAGTCATCTTCCATTAATTTGTCATTTCATTGTACCTGAAATGTAATTTTTAGCACATGTTTTTTCTTTTTTATGAAAGACGTTAAAGTCCTTTGCCGACCAACCGCCAGTCGCTGCACGAGCCCTAATGGAAACTTATTTTCTGGTGGAAAAGGCCTCCGGCTTTTTGAACTCTGCAGTGAGATTATTTCAAAGGGAGAGTGTGAAGAGCTACCATGGACAAGCATAAAGTCATAAAACAAACTAACCAAATAGAAAAAAAGAAAGTAAAATAAAGAATTCCCCTGGCACACTGATGAATTTTGGCAAAGTGAAAGGCAGCGTGTGGTACTTTGGGAGCATGCAACAACCTGCAAGCGGAATGCGATATTTCAGTCTAGCGATGCAATAAAGTGAAAGTGCGCAGGGCAAGGAGGAAGTTTTAGTCCTAAGACAGGGAACAGTGGAAATCCATTGCTCTGATGCCTGTGGTGCGTCTAGCTGTCCCTCCTCGATGGCTGACAGATGGACCTTTGCCGTGCTGCTCAGAGGGGACACTGAGAACGGAGCAGACGGGCCGACTACGAGAGCGGATGGTGTGGACGGGGCCAGAGTGGACAGGAGTGCGGGTGAAAGTATAAATTAGAAAGAATGCAAAGGAGCAGTAGATCCCTGAAAACGGAATCGTCTAAAGCCTATTTAAGGCCCTGCACGGGGCTTTTGGACACAAAGCCGTATGGCGATGCCGTAGCGTTGTTGGACTGCTCCTTTGAGACTGCCTTCCGCCACTGGCGTTCGATATGGAATGCCTTTGCTGTGCCTCGTCCAAGTTCTGGCCCTGCAATATCCAAGTGCCAGTCAGACAGACCTGGGATCACAAGTAGTTAAGTTGACACTTTCAGCGTGATTTATTCAGAGCTGAGGTAAAGGACTCGCCTGCTCCACAAAGCAAATCTTCTCATATTGCGGCAATCTACATTCAGTCGGAAAGAATTGCCTTTCCAAACTACCCAGGGCTTCTTTAAACACTGGCATAATTTAGTGGTAGGCTTACGCTGGTGCGATAAACCACAGCCGCTTTCACGTGTCGAGACAACGCCGCGCCTGGGACCTGCTGGATGTTTAACAAAGGGCACAGGAAGAGGCTGTGCAGCCAGCTTCAAACCTCCGGGCCATTCGTGCGAGGACAGGGTGCAGGAGATACGATGGGTGAGACAGAGGGGTGAGAACTCGTGATGCTCCCTCACATGTCTCGTTGCCGGGTAATGAGACAGCAAAGCCGCCCTCTTGAACTCCCGAGTGTTCAATAGCAGTCAGCACTGAGGAGTCCAAATGAGGGCGACCACCTCCATGACTCCCAGATGCACTCGAGTCATTCTTTTTTTGGCCGTGTATGCAGGTTTGTGTGTTGATGCGCTGCTGGCTCGGTATCCAGAGATCCATATGAACCGGAATGAGAGCCAAGGACGCAGGCCTCAAGGAGTCGCTTAACATTTTACACTCTTTCTATCTTTTTGATTGAGATGAAAAGACCGTCTCACACTGAAGCATTAAGAACAGAGCTGCAGTCGGGATACGTTTGGCTTAGCCTTGAATAACGGCCGGAGGCATGGGGGAATTGTGCCGACCGACTCGTCCAGAGACTCTTATATTGAGATTGTGTCTCTTGTTTTTACAGAGAAAGACATTTACAGAAAGTAAATTTGTGATTTCAGTTTGCAGATATTTTGTTTAGACTGTGGCCATGTTGTCTTATTATCGGTGCTTCCAATCTCAAACTTAATGAAAGTCTATATATAGATATTGCATTGAAAGGCATGAGCAAGTAAGCAAATATTGGCAAAATTGAATTTATTATCAACACAAACCCAACAAAAAGTACTTCATCTTACCGTTGTAGCTGAAGGCCTTGGATAAATTGGATAAAGTGATGTATCATTTCAACAATTTATAGTTTCTGGGATTTTATGGCAATTAAAAATAATATAACGTGTATAAGTTTTGGTTTTGGGATCAATCGCCCTTCGACTTGGAGTAGAGATTTCCAAACATTAGTGTCGGGTGGAAGGAGGCATATTCTTTTGTTTAACAATGTGTGTGTGCAAATGACCTCATACGTACTATCACCAACGTACAGACGTCATATGTCGGACGCCTCGAACGTCCTTTTCATCCCTCCACTCTCGTCGAGAGTGATTTGAGATAACGATCCGGATGCGTTCAGGGAGCCGGTCTAACCCCTGAGGGAGTGGAAATATGATTTGACCCCACTCAAAGAGCCGCTCTGTGCCAAGTCAAGCCGACCTACAGGAACGCAGGAATAGATCCCTCCATCTCTTTCCCCACAGCCCCACACCTGAAATCCCTCCGTGAACCATCCCAACTCTGAGAATTGCTTCTGATTTGCGATGCAAACACAAACATGTCTTATCACAGTGTCACTGTGTCTCCTGTCAGTCAGTTTGTTGGAATGTTCATGTAACACTCAAAGGCATTTATTTTCTATTCCACGATGTTTAAGGTGTCTGGCTATAATGAACCAGTGATTAACGAAAGAGACGAATACAAATGAATCCCTCCAAGTTGTCGAAGAAAAATACATTAGAACTGCCTGAGTTGCTACTTTTAAACGTGACACAGAGTTTCACCTAAAGACTCTAGACCACATGCAGAAAGCGACATCGTCGAAAGTTGTTAAAAAAAAAAAAAAGAACACGTACATAGCGATTGAACTCAAGGAGACGTGGCACCTTCAGCACAAACAAAGCACATTCATTTGTGCAGAAGTTATTAATGTTGTGATTAATGCAGAGGGTCCGTTCTTATTAGATTCTGCTCCCTCACCAGAATAAACTTATTCCAAGGACCTCATTAAGCTTTAAGGGTTAGGAAAAGCACAGGCTCACAGGTTCACATAATATTGCTGAAAAATGGTAGAAAGGAAGGATTTCTTCCGCCAACACTCAAACACTGTGGGTGAAGAACATTTCCTTGTGTTTGAGTTTAAGAACATACTATTCACGTCTTGCTCAATAATAAAACTCATCATTTTACAAACAGCTTCGTCCTCAAATCTCCATCATTCTAGTGTTGTTGTTGTTGTTTGCGGTCAATCCTAATTTAGCAGGGACAACTTTAATCAGTTGAGATTAGCCGAATTTGAGCATTGATAGACTTCACTCTGTATTTAACCAATTATATTATAATGGAAACACCAATTTTCAGAAGGAAAGAAATTATTTGATACAGTGTTTTTGTTTGTATGTGACTGTTCATGCTCATTATTGCAACCTTTCACAATACAACCACTACCTAAGGAGGTAAGAAAGCAGTATAATAGAACACGCAATTTTTTTTTTGTCTTGGTGTACCATTAGGATGACATACTAGATATTCAGATACTAGACAT